TTCCCTAAGGCCCGCTTCAGACGGGGCAACTTTTCTAGAAATTCTGAGGTTGCTGGCGGGTTGTTCCCTAATTTTTCCCAGATCAGCACGAATTTCTGATATCAGGTTCGGCTCCAAACAGACAAGCAACTCGAACAAACTGGAGAAGTTTGAAGCGGCAGCAGCCAATCAGGAACGCAATATTTTCACGTGACATCCCTGTGATGGTGAGGATGACAGCTGAAGACTTGGTCCAGGTTTGAAATGGATCGTTTTTGGAAATAAACTTTTTCAGAAACATGAGTGAGTATTCTCAACGCCGCTCAAAGATATAAAAACACGTTTTTAGCACGTAGTTGTGCGTCTATATAGTGCAAGAAAAATCAAATTTCATGATGATGATGGCAAGTCGTAGCAATTCGCTTGCAGCATGTGAACGCAGGTGGCCCGTGCTGCTGGTGTTGTGACGTTAAGTTGCTGGGGGAAATTTCCCCGTCTGAAGTGGGCCTTAGGCTCGCTTCCACCGTTCACGCTCAGCGAGCAAGCCCGCTTCAACCGTTCACACCTCAAGGTAAGCTGGACAGCTACAAGCCACCTAAATGTCTACCGCCGCATCTCGGCCAGGTCGTGACGCGACATAACTTATTAAAAGTATTGCTGTCACTGCCACGACCGGCCAGAGTGAAGTCGAGAAAGAATCATATAAATCAATTCGTAGCTTTCTTGGAACGACCCCCCTCAAGGGAGAGTCGTCCCTCCGCCCTTCGTCGATGGTTGGACTGACGCGAAGCAACTAGTCGTCTTGGCCCAGCAGTTACAAATCATAGTGCTCGTTAACTCGCCTGCCAGCGTTCCCGGTGCCAACCGCGATTTCCGCCAGTTTACCCGACACTCGCTGAAAATCTCGTCTGCCAGTGTTCCCGATGTCAACTGCCATTTCCGCAATCTTTCCAACACCCATTGACAAAAACCCATCTGCACTCCAGGCCTCGACAAGCGCTTACTTGCCTACCGCATCACCCCAAGCCTAAATCCTAAATCTGCAATGAGTCCTGGCCGTTTCCCCTTCTGCCACTCGTTATCCTGCCTTCCAGCGAACATGCTGTGACTCTCCTCTGCCTCTGAAGACGACTTTCTTACATCTTAAACGCGCTCCCCATCTCTTGCCAACCCCTAATCTGGGGTACCCGAGAAAGCGTGTCTGCAACCTCGTTCTTCGAGCCCTTTAGGTACTCGATTCGAGAAGACACCTGCTGAGCTCTGCCGTGAGACAAGTCGCCAAAATTCCAACATATTTGTCTCAACGGGCATCGTTAGCGTTAGTGAACAACCCGCTCAACGAATCCGTGAGACTCCCTGGGGATGACTAGAAGAAGAGGCATACCGAACGAGCCCCTTGTTGGATGTGCCATTTTAATGTTGGTTTCTTTATGGAGTTCGCTTAGCTACTAATAATCACCGCCCAATCGGTATGCGCTCCGCCCGTCACCCAGGGAGTGACATACAGCAACGAGAAGACAGCGAATAAGTTGACTAGCTCACGGTTGCCCGTCGTTCAGAGCCGGCAGTCCAGGCACGCCGACCCTTGTTGTCGCCCATCATCAGAGCTCACAGTCGGAGTCATTGTCCAGGCCTGCGGATCCTCCTTCCCATGTCAGCGCTGCGCAGGCTGGCTGTCCCGGGCTATCACTGCCCGAGTCTCGCTGGGGAACCACCACGGGGATCGTCGTGGCCTAGGCTAGATGGCCAGGACTCACCGTTTCTACCGGTCCGGACTTCGAACCTCGCTAGTGGACCGCTCCGGGGTTTGGCATGGGCCAGGCCAGGCAGCCCGGCTCCGATGTTCCTGCCCAGCTCCAGCCTCGCTCAGCACGCACTGCCTTGTGCCAGCTCGTGACTTCTCCGCCAACTGCCTGTCACGCGCCCTCTGCCTCGTCTTTCACCCTTGGCTCCCACAAAGTTAAGGAAAGGGAATGTACCATTATGTTCAATGAAGTTCGGTGAGAAGGCCCGGGACTCCAGCTGGAATGCCGTTATCCTTGGTGTGACCCTATGAGACTCTCTTGCTGCCTTTGCTGGGGTTTATCTAACTGAAGTACCTGTCTGAGAAGTAGAAGAAACATATGTGCATAACGCTCATTATTCACAAGAAAATTTGTCAACATCCAAAATGACCCATGGAGGGGTCCATATCACATGAGCGAATGACATTTTAGCGAACTGCGACATTTGGGCGAATCGTCGTTTTAGCGAATAACGGGGGCACGCGTTAACCCATCCGCCGTGCTGCGTTTTACGCCGCTTCGCGGCGACAGTCTGCGGCGGCTCATTACAAAAATGTGAACCCATTTGGCCCACCCGAAAACGCCGCTTCGCGGCGTCCGAGTATTCGCTAAAGTGTCATTCGGTGAAACGTGGGCGTTCACTAAAACGTCATTCGATCAAGTGAGGGCCTCCCGATGTGGAACATAAAATGTGTGCACCAAGGAGTGAGCAAACAGTGACTTCCAATTAGTCTCAAGCAGCAGCGACATGTCGACAAAGAGTGCAATGTGTAGAATGTCGTCTAGAGGTGTGCAGCCAAGATGAAAAGGCGAGATATAACGATATCAGAATAGGATCACACCAAAAAGGTTCAATTACAATCTAGGCACAGTAATGAGTCAACCGACGTACAGCCGCGATTCACTTTGCGTTGAAGTGAAACATGGCCAACAAAATATTAAAAAAAACGTTTTTTTTTTTTCTGTACATCATTTGCTCTGCGCCGTTGATAGAAGGACAGTTGGGCGGCGTCACAAAGTCACTCGCTAGCGCTTTTTCAAATTCGTTCATCGGCACTCATGGTCTACCCGGGAAGAAAAAAGTACGAGCGCAGAGCCGAGCCGCCGAGCGCCGATTGCGACTTTCCTAAAGAGAAGCTCCGGTAACACTTCGGCGACTCGTCAGCTTCAAACAACGCCTCTTCGAACGAGCCTGACGAGCCCGCGAATCCAATGCGCCGAACGGGCGCGGCAGAAAGCTCGCCGGAAGGAAGGGGTTTGAGGCTGAGTCGCTGAGTATCCGAAAGAGACGCGGCGCTGGTTTCTACGTCTATTTCGCACATGAGATAACAAACTGGCAAAGCTAGCCGAGTGTGAACAGTGACTGACGTTACATTGGAGCACACGCAGTCGAAGATTACGCCTGCAAATGAGCACAGCTATGAAATGGCGCCTGCAACAGGAGACACAGGCGTTCAAAAAGGCCGCGATTTAAAAACACGTCTCCTTTCTGTCCTTCGGTGTTTACTTTGATCCGCGTACACCAAAGCACTCAATGCTGCAAGTAATAGAGTCGTGTATACGTACCTTTCGAAGCAATTGAAAGTGCGTAGGTTTCGCTCGATGCCCACGAGCACAGAGTGCAACGAACGCCAACCACGCTGGATGGCCAGGCCAGCCAGGCTGGCCGGGTCGCGCAACCGACGCCCGCCCGCTGCGCACTGCGCATGCTCAGCTTGGCGGCTCTCTCGGCCGCTCGCGGGCATCGCGCCGCGCCAGCCGGGCCGGGCTCGCTCTTTTCGAAGTTCGTACCACGTTCGTGCAGTTCGAAGTTCGAACTGCTACCGGAGCGCGAGCTTGCGCGCGCGCGCGCGGGTTGGCGATGGAAATTATCTTCTCGAAGAACGAGGCTGTAACGTATCGTTTGATGGCGCAAATGCACGTATTTTTCACGTCGTTTTTTGTACAGTGTGTGAATCTCGCGAAACAGGCGACGAAAAGTGCTGGGTGAAATGTGCTGGCATGTCGTAGTGGATTTTGTGTACCACGTAGGATTACCCAGAAAGGTGGGTCAATATCGATAAATGTGCGCGTAAGAAGCAACTACATGCACGTGACCTGTCAAACCTACTCACCCTCATTATTTTATCGTGCGAACCGACATTGTCACGTACCGCTTTCGATTTCGGACAGAACACCGGTAACTTCGAATAGTATATTGTGTTTCATGTATTTCTCACCGTCGATAGTTTCTTGTTGTATTGCGATGTTGTGTTGCAACATCGAATTTTATCCCGGTACGTTGCGTTTATCGTTTGGCGATCAACTTTTGTTGCCTTACAACTGCAATAAACATATGTTGGAAAACGATCACTCCAATGAGCACGTCGTTATTGGGCTTTCTCACTAAAAGGTAGGTCGCGGTGGGTGCTCCGGCTAGTTATTCTGAATGGTTTGGTGGTTGTCTAGTTTCAAGCGCGCGAGGCTGTGTGTACTGTGTGCCGTACTAACAGCTGTGCATACTTGCACTGTCGATCAACGTTAATCTGTTCGCAACGCAGAACGTTTATGTTATGTGTGTATCCACACCCAATATATGTCTCGCGTATTGCTGTGTGGATATGCCAACGTAATTCATGTTGGTAACTTGGTACCCGCGTTCTGAGATATATGCACGCGATATCATATTGTATTCTCCTTTGGTCCCATGATCGACGACCAATATTTGTATATCGTGTGGCCGTACAGTATGTCCATGTCGGTCACCAATATGCACGCGATGTCGTATTCTATACCAATAACCGTGTATTATATCGGGGTATTGTGGTCCGATATCGTGTTGTATACCAATAACCGCAAGTTATATCAGGATATTGTGCTCCAATATCCTGTTGTATACCAATAACCGCATACTATATCGGGATATTGTGCTCCGATATGAATTCCCATCGTGCGTATTGGGTTAATCGGATAACAATAAGTTTTTATTGGTTTCCATCCTCTTCACTGGAATACAATATTTCCAATAAGCCGAGTTCATATTGGCCTTTTTCAATAGGGGAAATTTACAGTGGACGTATCAGTTGACAACAGATTCTTGAACTTGAAAGTTCACTTCGGAGCAGCCTGCACACTCATCAGCAAAGCGCGGTTATGTTCTACATAGACGAGCATCCCGCCTCGGCTGGAAACTGAACTGAATGAGCCAACGTTGTGCGACGTTAGGTCCGGACATAACAGCAACACGGACATAGTCGCCGGGCGGTAGAAAGGGTCTAGTACATGGTGCAGTGCCGAGCACGTCTCCCGTAGGATACCGCAGGCTGTGGATCGCCCGATCCCGCAGCACCTGGGTGCGAGCTGCTGCGAAGACGCATGAGCCAGGCACCTAAAATGTTAAAGTTGTGGGTCACAATGATACATGTGCTAATAAACAACCAACAGAAACAGTAAATGCTTGGAGCAACAGAGAACAAAAAGAGTGACATAATAGATGAGTGGGGCTCAAAATAATGTAAATGAGATGCTTGTATGTAGACAATTAAACGATTTCTACCTTTGAATTCTGATCACAGTAGGTTACAATCAGGGTTCCATGTTTTCAGTAGATAACAATAAAACCTAGAAAAATAAACCCGAGTCAGTTTTGTCAAAACCGGGAAAAAAACTTAAAAACTTATTTCGAGCTGTCCTTGAATTACAAAAGCCCAAGCTTCACGGGAACAAACTTGTTTTGTGAAGCTTTATTTCGAGCTGATGCAGAACAGGGCTATTAGAAAACTGCCTGCTTCTCTCTTAGGAATCACAGACCTTATTCCATTTCCTTCTATTTTGGTCCTTGGAAGTTTTCAAGTGTTCGAGTTGCGTGCATATTTATTCAACATTGTCGTTGAAAAACAACCGATCCGTGGGAAAAATAAACCCCAAAAATGCACCCCCAATTTTAAAAAGAACTCTGAAAACATGGAACCTTTTTTATAATGCAAATAAATTAAGCCAGTGTAGTATGGATGCTAGCCGTAACGTACACCGTGCAGTGATGACACGAGCAAACACCAATACGATGCTCATTCAGATCAAAACGGGTACGAGTGGGGATTTTAGCCAGGCTCCTGGGATCCCTGAGCATGGACCTTTTCCTCTACCTGCTCGGAGTCATAAAGCATTTACGCATTCGGCCACTGGTCCCCCACGTTAGGAGTCTCCCTATGAAAAAGTGTCAAGATGACCTCACATTTGGGAACTTTCCAGTGCACATTAAAGAGGAAATGCTAAAACATTTGTACTTTCAGTAAATGCCGCATAGATTTATTCCTTGACATTCGTGAAACATGAGTTAGTTTTTTTCTCCACCCGACAGCAGTTGCAGAAACAAATTTGGAAGAAATGAGCAGCGTTCAATCCCTCAACTTGCAGCTAGAGAGAGGCCACATGATCTGGAACAGATTATACATGGCCAACGTTTATCATAGCCACATGCTGATATTTCCGAAGCAGAGGGCTTGCAATGAGTTCCATACATTGTTAGTGTTGTGCTTTTCCCATAATCATAGCGATTGGTGGGTACAAGCTACTACCCAAATACATGTCGAGGCATAGATAATCACGAGCCTTAATTTAATGGTCACGTAGGGCTTGTGTCAACTGTATGAAGCGCATTAAAATATTTTCACCGCAGGGATCGTATAGCGTAATGACAAAATCCTCGGCATTGCATGTAAAGTCAAGCAATTGCCACAACTTCATTCGCAAGTTTTGCAAAAAAAAACTGCAAAAAAAACAACTAATATCTTTGAAATTATGTAGGAATGAAGAACCAGCATTCTATGCAAGTATACTTAGGTCCTGATAGTGCCAGTAAGCTTCTGTAAATTGAGAAGTATTCCTACCCAATATCATTGAATGGCCCCTTGTAAAGCGTCTAGGGTTGCTGAACCTATACTATGTTGCAACACCACAATGCAAAAAACAAAACAAAAAACCTTCCTGCAAAGCTCTTCGCTTGCCAGGATTGCTGATACCAATTGTCCAGTTCTTTCCTTCCTATGCAGTCCTTGATCCAATAAAGTGGAAAAAGTGAAGGCCTTTATGGGAGGAGCTTGTAGTGATATTCATAATCTGCGACAGAAAATGTTGCAAAGAAAGTGAGGAAGAGAAGGAGACGAGAGAGTGCGGGGACGTAAAAACGCCGAGCTCCGATTGGAAGGATTAGTGGGTAGCCGAGAGCCAGCAGCCCTTGTCTTAATGCACTCATCGAACCCGCTCGAATGCGAGAGAAAAATGCCAGACGCCTTCGTTCCGTGTTTTTACGCGCTCGGCGAGTGCAGTGGGGAAAAAGGCTGCCCTTGTCTCTGCGCCTTCGAATGCAAGAACCAAACAACAGATGCCTGCATTCCAAGGTTTCACGCGTTCGATGACTGCAGCGGATTCAAAGGCCGCCTTCATCTCCACTGCACTCGTCGAACACGTTCGAACGCAAAAGCCAAACACCAGACGCCGGCGTTCGAACGTGTTCGACGAGTGCAGTCCAGACAAAGGTTGCTAGCTTTCGGTCTCCCCACTAATCGTTTCAATGAGAGCTCTGCGTTTTTAAGTCGCTGCGCGCCCTCGCCTTCTCCCCTCCCTCACTTCCTTGGCGCACTGTCTTTGCTCTCTCTGTCAGGCATTTTGCATGGCATTGGTCACTTAGAAAAAACAGTCTGGGGGTTTTTGCGTGCCACACCAACGATGGGCACCTGGCACGCCCCAGCAGAGCACCGAGGATTAATTTGAACCGCCTAGCGATCTTTTGACGTGCAACCGAAAGCTCAATTACACGGCGCCCTCTCCGCAATAAGCCTCTGTCAGATTACGGGCACCTCAGCTAAGATACGAACCCGTCACCTGGGTATCCGTAGACCGGTGCTTTGCCTCGGAGTCAGCGAGGCGGCGATTAGTCACTTCTGTACACAGGCCGTGGATAACTGAATGTCGTGAAGGCCTACCCAGAGCGCTTATATGGACTGGATTGCTGGGAAAGATATATGATGTTTTATAGCTGCTTTACTTTGGCTAATTCAATGGGACTGCCTCGGAATTCCCATATATGCACACTTTTTAGAGCGCAGCTCTTAGGGGCCCGTTCCCGGCTTGAGCGGCGTCGCCGTCGGCGTCGGCGTCGCCGTCGCCGTCGCCGTCGCCGTCGGCGTAACCGCAACCCTCGTAACCCTCGTGAGGGTTACGAGGGTTACGAGGGTTAATCTCATGAGGGTTACCCTCACGAGGATCACGAGGGCCACGAGGGTAACTAACCCTCGTAACCCTCGTGAGGGTTACGAGGGTTACGAGGGTAACCCTCGTAACCCTCGTAACCCTCGTAACCCTCACGAGGGTTACGAGGGTTACGAGGGTTACAAGGGTTAGTTACCCTTGTAACCCTTGTGAGGGTTACAAGGGTAACTAACCCTCGCGAGGGTTACTTACCCTTGTAACCCTCACGAGGGTTAGGAGGGTTAGTAACCCTCGTGAGGGTAACCCTCGTGAAGGTAACCCTTTTGAGGGTTACGAGGGTTAGTAACCCTCGTGAGGGTAACCTTCACGAGGGTTACCCTCACGAGGGTCACGAGGGTTATGAGAGTTACCCTCACGAGGGTTACTCACCCTCGTAACCCTCACGAGGGTTACGAGGGTTAGTTACCCTCACGAGGGTCACGAGGGTTATGAGAGTTACCCTTACGAGGGTCACGAGAGTTACCCTCACGAGGGTCACGAGAGTTGCCCTCACAAGGGTTACTAGGGTTACCCTCACGAGGGTCACGATGGTTACCCAGGTCGTGACCCCCCCTGGGGTCACGTGACCTGGGGATACCCCCCGAGGTCACGTGACCCCCCGTTGACGTCATAGGCACTGATGACGTCGTCAGTGACGTCACTGATGACGTCGTCAGTGACGTCACTGATGACGTCACCGGCATCCACATCGTCATCGTCATAATCACTGATGACGTCATTAGTGACGTCACTGATGACGTCACCGGCATCCGCATCGTCATCATCATCACTGATGGCGTCATCAGTGACGCTACTGATGACGTCATCGGTATCGTCACGTGGCCCCAGGTCACGTGACCCCCCGACGTCACGTGACGCCCCAAGGTCACGTGACTCCCACAAGGTCACGTGACCCACAAGGTCACGTGACCCCCAAGGTCACGTGACCCCCCGCCCCCCGAGGTCACTTGACCCACCCCCCAGTACCCTTCCCTCCTCCTCCTCAAGAGCTGCGCTCTAATTCGGCGTTACAGGGAGTTGTAAACGGCTTTCATTTTTTTTAAGTTGGATAGCAAGGTTATTTGAGAATTTCTTCACCTTACTGGATTGTAAACGACAAACCTTCTGGAGGGCTTATGGGCTCCCTGGAGAGAGTCGCCTCTTTCTGCAGTAGAGACCCAATCAAGGAGAGCAGGTGGTCAAATCTGTAGACAAAGTTGTTATTAATGTTCGTACTCAAGAGCAATTCGTTCAATACTGTGGGTAGCTATTGCTAAGAAGTGAGCCACTGAAATTAACAATCGCAGGAACAACCTGTAAAACACTATTTTGTATTCTGGTCTTGTCTTCGGTACAATGAAATCAGAGCAAACTTGTGCATTAAAACTTTGTACTTTAGAATTTGTCAAACACAGCTGACAGGAGTCTACTGAAAGTGACCAAAAATTGCCTGCCAATGTTTTTTGTTTTTTTTTCTCAATCTTTTCTTCACAAGTGATCGAAGAAAAACTGGTTATATGAACGCAACCGAGCCATACTGAAGTAATTGCACATGGTCGGAAAAGGCAAAAACTCTGAGTGTTTTGCGAACCAGATCAACGAATTAGATTACATGGCACGCCCCAGTCCTCGGACAATTTCGACCACTTTGTTGACATGCGAGCGAAATCTCGATTACACAGCGGGCACCGCGGGCGGGATTCGAACCCGCCAACTGGCGAATCATAGGCAAAGGGCGGTCCTTTGCCTCAGAGCCACCGAGACGATCGAACATACAAAAGTATTTTTTTGTGACTGTTTATGTTTAAGGAGAGTTAAGTACCCACCTTTGCGGCGTCATGCGGAAGTATCGGAAGAAGTCGCTTCCGTCGTCGAGGCGCATGTCCCGGACAAGCTGGTGAAATTCCACGTGCGTTGCCCGGAACCGGAGCAGAGACCGAATCCACTCGCGTGGCTCCCTCCGTCGGGAACGCACGAGCATCGCTGCGGACACTCGTGCCACAAGTGCCCAGTCCACGTCGTTCCCTGCTTCTGCTATGCATCCATCAACACAGTGCTAGAACAGTGTCAGCCGCACATCATTGCTGCCGGAATCAGGCCAGTCCGGCGGGATCGGGGCCAGGGGTGAGGTTCTTGCCGGAGCAGCCATCTTGGGACGAGAAGCGAGCACCGCCGCTTTCGCATCATCCAGTGCTGGCTGACTATGTCGATTGCTGGTGGCTGAAACCGAGCCCTCTTAGCGTTCTGCTATTGGTTGTTGACGTGACTACGTACGACGCGACTACGTACGATGTGAACAGCATGTCTTAGCTGGTCTTAGCAAAACACAGTGGTTGCCATGGCAACTGTCGTCCTAGTGGTTGTGAGAGGTTTCAAGATGTTTTAGCGCACTCGCTCGAAGTCTGTCGCAAGAGTGTGAACGGGCCTTAAGAGCTGTGCTCTAAAACATGCGATCTGAAGTACTCCAAGCGCTGCGGAAGTTTGACCTTCAAGACTGTTTTACAAACGTTGTACTTGTTACTAACAGAGGCGCGAATGTAATCTCGGCACTGAGATCACTGTGGCGCCTTAATTATGCAACATTCTCAACACTCTTCTTGAGTCGACACTGGTTTCTGGCCAACGAGATGATGATATTGTTCTTTTATATTTTCTCCGAGCCTGTCGATCCTTCGCTACGTTTTTCAACGGACCTGGCCTGCAGTGCCGTTAAGAGTTACCGCTCAAAGGAGACGTCGAGACTAGGTGGAGAAGCAAGCTATGATGTTCTCATCTATTTTTCAACAATGGACTCAAATTGTTGAAGTTCTGACAGAGAAAGGCGAAACAAGCCGCGTTGACGAATTATAGTCGGGCACTTTGCACTGTCTCGTAAAATTTCTTTCGGCTCTTCAAGTCAGCGAGTGATGCCCTAGAGTGATGATGTAGGCAAACCCTCTATTTTGTGGTTCAGTGGCGAACGAAACTTATGAAGTACCTAGAAAGAGAAAGTAACGATTCTGAGCGTCTGCAGGCGGTCCCAGCTCCGTCAAGAAAAACTAAAACTGCACAGCAAAAAACAAAAACAAAAAATAATGCTTTTTCTGTATATTTCAAGTTTAGAACTTGCTGTGCCTCAATGGACGACGAGTCTCCCAATTGTGGATGATAAATGTAGCCAGTGCAGTACAGCCGCTAGCCTGGGGTCTTTAATGTGCACCACGCAGTAGTGGTACACGACCGCACGCCGGAAGCGATGCTCGTCCAGGTCAAAATGGGCAGGGGTGGGGATTGAACCCAGGATCCCTGGGTTCTGCAGCGCGAGCTTTTGCTCCACGTGCTTCGAGCTGGTGCACGCTAGCCCACTCGGCCACCAATCCCCCCGAACTGCACAGCTTGCACAATGTTGCCGTGTTTCTACACGCGAAACTAAAAAATCTCTCCCGTGCTCGGCGACTCAGAAAGGCATTTCGTACAAATGACGCAAAGAAGATGTTCCCAGCTGCCAAAGATCGTCGAGTGATGAAGAAAGATCGAGTCGAAGCTGTCCGAGGCTGTCTCGGCTTAAGGACACCCTTCGAAGACAAGAAGACATCCGGACGACGGGGCACTCAGTCTGATTCGGAGGACACCGACGACGAAGTGGCAGACACGGCAAGTGACGAAGTCGACAGATTCATCACCTTCTAGTGGATCCAGGAGACTTAATTCGATCTGCTGAAGTGAAAGAACCTGCGCCAACGAGAATTTCCTTGCTTCACTCTGGCGGCGCAGTTCGTGCACGTCATTCCGCCAACGAGTGCACCAGTCGAAATAAGCCTCACATTGGCGGGTATTTTAATTTAAGAGGGGCGAAGAAGCCTGAGTCCGTGTATCGTTGACGGTTTTCTGTTCCTACAGATGAACCTCGTCAAGTGAAACGGGGTGTGCGGTGCGTTGCGGTGAGTGATCGCCTTTACTCTCTCACTTCTAAATTGTTTGACCGAACTAAAATGCCATAACGTGGTATGCCCTTTTGTTAACTTTAATGTTTGGAAAGTACGCGTCTGCTTATAATGAGTGTTTAAAAAAATGCCGATATATATATATATATATATATATATATATAAAACTGAGAAGAAAAAAACCCTTAGTGAAAAACAGCAACAACGGACGATTTAATCTTCGACGTTTCGGCCGGAGTCCGGCCTTCGTCAGGAAGAACTTTTACAGGTGAACGCGGGTGGTATTTATACAATGCTACGGTCGAGTTCAAATTTCGGAGGGGTGACGGTTGAAGCTTTCGAGAGAGGGAAGCGTAGGGCAGTTCTTATCCGGGTGAAGAAGCTTGACGGTCGGTGCCAAGTTTCAAGGACGGCGGGATGACGGTTGTAGCTTCTTGAGAGGGGGCGCAGGGTGACTGTGTCCGGGCCGGCAGCGGTGACCTATATAGACGATAGCGTACAATAGACGAAAGTTACACGCGCAAACTAAAGTGCTGTCTCAAAAAAAAAAAAAAAAAAAAAAAGGGCGGCACGGTCACTTGTGTGCATGCAGGCATGCATGAGTCAAACCTGGAAGGGAACAATGTTAAACCTAGAAGTAAAAAGAAATACAATGGATATCAGAACCTGGAAATAAAAGAGAAGTTGATGGTCCAGTTCCGGCCCCAAACACAGTACCACTGTTAACAACAAAATCTACAAAAAAAAAATGTTTTTGGATTGTTGTTGCTATCCGTCTGTTAGCATTTTAATCGATGCCAGAGTACCGGGGCTTTCATTTATTCCTTGTTTAATAGTGTTAAATCGGTAAATTAGGTAGGATTCACGCTGTTCACGTTCGCGATTTGATTTAAATCCAGATTCTAGGAGCGTCGCTGACAATTTATCAAAAGAATGTTTTGGGAAAGCGAGATGTTTGGATAAAGGCAGTGCCGGAAGATTTCTGGCGTGAGATTTGTGATTATTAAAGCGCAGTCTAAATGCCGTTCTAGTCTGCCCTATGTATTGCATTTTGCATACCGTACACTCGAATAAGTAAATGACATTCGACGAGGCACATGTTAAGTTCCCTTTAATTTTGATCGAGAACTGCGAGTGCGTGCTGCTGGCCGTGTTTGTGTGCTGCATCTGTTTACAGATTAGACATCCTGGGTGCCTGCAAGGCCTACATTCGTTAGGTGGTGGCGATGAATTTATCCGAGAGTTTACTAGCGCGTCTTTGAGGTTACGCGATCGTCTGTGGACTACCCCCGGGGCGGATGGAAACGCGCGTTTAAGGCGCTCGCTTTGTTCGAGAATGTTATAATGTCGTCTCAAGACATTATTTACATTAGGATGGTTTATGCTATACGTTAGACATAGATTTGTGCGTTGTGTGGCGCTTTGCGTGGGGCGCGGGCTGATGAGGTCTGCGCGGTTCAGTTGTTTGGCTTTTCTGATTGCATCGTCGATTATACGGGGTGGATACTTTTGTTTCTCTAGCACTGACTTTAAATTTTGACTGCTCGCATCAAAATCTGTCTCTTTTGAACAAATTCGTTTGAAACGATGAGCTTGGCTATAGGGAATGCCGTTCTTGCAATGGTGTGGGTGGTCGCTTTGATAATGAAGGTATTGCTGCCGATCTGTTGGCTTACGGTACAGGCTCGTGGCGAGTTTACTTTCGTCTACCTTAACGTTGACGTCTAGGAAGTTTATTTCGGTTTGAGAGTACGAATGTGTAAAGCGGATGCTCGGATGAGCAGCATTGTATCGACCTATGAAGTCCACCAGCTCCTCCTCAGTGTGCGACCATACAATAAATATATCATCTATAAACCTTTTGTATATTAGCGGCTTTACGGGACATTCAGAAAGGAACTGAGATTCTAATTTTCCCATGAATATGTTGGCATAGTTCGGGGCCATTTTGGTGCCCATCGCGGTTCCGCTAACCTGCCTAAAGTATTTATTGTTAAATTCGAACGTGTTTAGTTCTAAGACAAGCCTCGCTAGAGTAGCGACGACGTGTCCATCTGGGGTATCCGGTTGTTTGTGGAGTTCGTACATGTCAATTAAAGAGAGTATTCCATCATCATGTGGAATATTCGTATACAGCGATGACACATCGAGTGTAACGAGATACGATTCTTTTGGTATGCATAAATTTGATATTTCTCTTAAGAAGTGAGTTGTGTCTTTAATGTACGAATCAAGAATTGTAGGTATATGTTTAATTAAACTGTCTACATATCCTGATATGGGTTCGGTTACTGTACCTATTCCGGATATGATTGGACGCCCTGGGTTACCAGGTTTGTGAATCTTAGGGAGCATGTAGAAGCGGCCCGGAGAAGGCTGTACCGGTTTCATTAATTTATGTTCGTTAGCAGTTATTCTGCCCTCATCTAGGAGATCCTTAAGAACCGAGGTCACAATCTGAGTGTGGTGCACCGTAGGGTCATCCGCGAGAGGTTCATAAAACTTTGAGTCATTTAGTTGATGGTTTCCTTCTCGGATGTATTCAGAAGTGCTAAGAATCACAATTGCTCCTCCTTTATCGGCTGGTTTTATTGTTATGTCTGTCCTATTGCTCAGGGTTTTTAAGCTAGCCCGTTCGGATTTAGTGAGGTTATCCCGTCTTCCCGCCTGCCTGCGATATTCGGCATAATGTCTTTTTGCACTGCGGCTATATATAAGTCAAGACAATCATCACGGTTAGCTTTTGGCGTCCAGTCGCTCGTTGCACGCTGCTGAGAGGTGTTGGAGCTAGAAGTTTTGTCCAAGAAGTATTCCCGCAATCTTAAATTTCGAGCAAAGTTGTCGAGGTCGCGTAGTAATTGAAATTCGTCAACAAAACCTGTGGCGGGACAGAAATTTAATCCCCTCGAAAGGAGTCTTTCCTCTTCTGTTGATATAGTCACGCCAGATAGATTAACAATTGCAGTGCCACAAGGGGCACTAGTGCTTGACCTATCGTCTGTTATGCTAATGGCCGGTTGAGTATGTTCGTTATAGTTAAATGATGTCGTGAGCTGAG